AGTGCACCCTCAGCAAGTTTGCAGATGACACCAAGCTGAGTGGTGCGGCTGACACACCAGAGGGACGGGATGCTATCCAGAAGGACCTGGACAAGCTCTGGAAGTGGGCCTGTGTGAACATCATGAGGTTTAACAAGGCCAAGTGCAGGCCTTGGGCACTCGGCCGGCGCAACCCCCGGTATCAATACAGGCTGGGCGATGAAGGGATTGAGAGCAGCCCTGCCAAGAAGGACTTGGGGGTACTGGTGGATGAAAAGTTGGACATAAGCCAGCAATGTGCGCTCACAGCCCAGAAGGCCAATTGTATCCTGGGCTGCATCAAAAGAAGCGTGGCCAGCAGGTCGAGGGAGGTGATTCTGCCCCTCTACTCTGCTCTGGTGAGACCCCACCTGGAGTACTGCGTCCAGCTCTGGAGCCCTCAGCACAAGACAGACATGGACCTATTGGAGCAGGTCCAGAAGAGGACCACGAAAATGATCAGAGGGATGGAACACCTCTCCCATGAAGAAAGGCTGAGAGAGTTGGGGTTCAGCCTGGAGAAGAGAAGGCTTCGGGGAGACCTTATTGCAGCCTTTCAATACTTAAAGGGGGCTTATAAGAAAGATGGGGGCAAACTTTTTAGCAGGGCCTTGTTGCGACAGGACAAGGGGGAATGGCTTTAAACTAAAAGGGGGTAGATTTAGACTAGCTATAAGGATATATATGTGTATATATATAATTTTTTACAATGAGAGTGGTGAAGCACTGGCACAGGTTGCCCAGAGAGATGGTAGATGCCCCATCCCTGGAAACATTCAAGGTCAGGTTGGACACAGCTCTGAGCAACCTGATCTAGTTGAAGAAGTTCCTGCCCACGGCAGGGGGGGGGGACTAGATGACCTTTAAAGGTCCCTTCCAACCCAAACTATTCTATGATTCTATGATAATCCAATGTCCCATCCCATGACATTTAATGCACATATTCTCACTGCTAATTGAACAACCATCCATCTAAAAACTACAGACCTCTCTTAAAATAACAGGTTTATGTGTTTAGATCCTCCATTCAGAACAAAGATTAACAGTTATAGATGAGTCTTAAAGAAAATTTTACTTTCTTAGTCATATCCAGTCCATTTCAGTTGTTTCACCAATTGTCCCACACATAGGAGGGGTGCAAGTCTAAGGAAATAGCAAGAAAATGGCCAAACACATTCCCCAGAAAAAAAAAAAAACACATACAGCCTTTCACAAGTACTAGCTTTTCAGACCAAAAAAACCCATGGCCAATAATAACGTTGCATCATGGATTCTACCTCCAGTTCACCTGCCTCCTTCCAGACACAATTACTAAAGAAGCAGCTAGTGTTTAATACAGACAGGAATCATCAGTTGTAAATAACTGCCAAACAGTTATGCAAAGACAGACTAAGTACTTACTGTCATTTCAAGGGGAACAAATTCCTATTGTTCCAAGTGGACCAAAACCAGTAAATCAGCTACTGCAACTAAAGTAGGGAAGTTTGTAATTAACCAATCAGCTGTCACCCAAATGCTAAAATATTCTGCTATTTAGAGGTAGAAAGGTTTTAGAGAAGGTCTTAGTCATGCTCAAAGCAGCACTAAGCAGGAAAACTAAATTAAAAATTAAAAACCAAGACCCTCTGTGGTCTATTCCTATGCAGCCTAATTACATGCTTTTAAGATAACAACATTTCATTGTCTCTGATCCCTAAATAAAGAATATTTCCCAAGCTTTAATCTGAAGCTCATTCTTTGAAAAGAACTTTTTAGTCCTTTACTAATGTATAAATCCACAGAATACTAACAAAGCTGACCCCCGAGGAAGTTATTTAAAGAAAAACTGAACTGCCACTTTTGGACAGATTTGCTTAATCTGAGCTGTTAATTTCACTGGTAATAAGCAAGGACAAAAATTACAGTCTAAAAGTCTCCTCAAGCACACACAAATATCTTTAATTAAATATTCAAAAGAAGTTACAATCTTCTGATCAATACAAATCTTACTACACTTTTAAAATAAAGTAATAGTAAACCTTTAGCTGAGGTTTTTCATCTTTTCCAGAGGTGTCCTCAGATTGCTGATGAACCAGGACAAATTCTTCATTAATTAACGCGGATACAGTTTCAGGAATCCTACTGACTTTGCTAAACGATGTTTTGACTTCCATCTCAGGTCAGTATTCTCCTCCTGCCACAAGAACCTAACAAAGAAAGAAAAATATTAAATAATTAGTTTTGAAGCTGTAAACAATACGTTAACAGGTGTAATATGAAGTTATTATGGAATAATATAATAAAGTTATATGAATGTATAATACTATATTCCTCAAACCCTGATTTCATTGGGATAAGGAATCTTTTCTTAAATAGCACGTATGATTTTTAGGGTGTGTGTTTAAAAATCCTATGATTTAACAGCAGTGGCTGTTATCTACGTGTATAGATAACACATGAGGAAGTTCATCTCAGAGCTTCCACTTCCCCTGTTTTTAATCTTCCAGAGTCTGCTCCATCTACCTCCCTAATTCCTGCCCTTTGTTCTCCCTCATACAGGTGTATGTCTTACCCAGAGTGTCATACAGGTTGTGTGAAGATACAGATTACCTGACAACTAATTTTCAGAAAACTGCATATCAAAGAATATGCTCTCCACATGAAAACATATTAAGGAACAATTATGTTAGAGTTGTTTTTATTATTCTTTATATCTATAGGCGATGAAGTCAAAGGTGATACTAAACCACAGTCACATCCTTCTCAGCAAAATTCTCTGAAACCACCTGCAACAGAGTTAAAATTAACCACACCACTTAAAAAACAAAAACCATAAATATTATGGAAACTGAGAACAAGTTTTCCCTTGTCTGCACAGCAAAAAATAAATCTAGAAACAAAAAAAGGGCAAAATAACGGTCAGCCTATACATTACAAGTTCATATAAAAATACAGAACCAAAACCATTCCTAGCACTTCAGAATGAGGACAGCTACTGTAGGTATCCACCAAATAAAGACAGTACCACCTACATTAATTCAGAATGTCTTCCCTGATTCCTTAGGGAGTAAAGAGCTAGAATGAAGAACACTGTATATTAGACTTTTTATATTTTAAATGAATCTATGTTTTTTATATTTTTTGTGTTAAAAAAGAGAAAATATATTTTCGGATAGACTTTATAAATAGCATGCACTTCCAGATATGGTCTATTACCATTTCAGTTTCCTGAAAAATGCTACTCTGGCTGAGTGCTGGGATTTATTGTGCTTAAGACTCGGAGTTCAGAAAAGTCACATATAGCACGGGGGGAAACAAACTGCTGTTGTCACCTTTGCAAGGCTGGAAAGTGCCCAAAGACGGGTAGCTCAACCAAATGTCTGTTGTGACTGGTGAACAAGGACAGCTTTAGCTTCACATTACTTTTCACAGCAGTACTAAGGTGCAGAACTGTGCCACGCTTGCATGTCAGTTACAGTTCCAAAATACGAAGTGATCAAGAAAAGAACGCAGATTTAGGTCTGCTATAGGGAACCACAAAAACAGCACTTTAAAAAAAAAAAAAAAAAAAAAAAAAACGTGCATGTTCTCCACCATTCTGAACAGGCATTACTTAACATGCTAGCCACAAGAGGTGGTTTAGCAACTTTGGGCCAAAAAACAAGTGTTGGAACTAGACTACTTTAAATACAAAAATATTTTGTATCACTTTCGAAACTACAGTCAACATGCTTTTACTCTTTCAAAGACTTGGCTATTCATAACCATTTATACATGCAACTCTACAAAAAGATTTTCCCTCTCCCTAACCTAGCCACAATTTTACCCATCAACCCAGCAAGGGTATTATACATAGAAATCCCAGAATAACTAAAGAACTCAAGTTCTTCAGGTAACTGGCTTGTATATAGCAGAAAAACTTGTTAGAAGATTCACCTTATAAAAAAGCCACTAAACAACAGCTATAATATTCAGAGAGTGATTACAAATATGGATTGGCAGTTTAGCTCTCTGTTGTCTTTCACACCTCCAGACTAAGCATGAATATTTTTCAGACAGATGACGCAATCTGAGCTCCACCCAGGCCTAAGTAATGGATTCACTGCTGAAATAAGTTTTGTTTCAGTGTTTTAAAGTATCTTTCTGGCAAAAGAAAGACAAAGTTTTAATACATAAGATTTTAAGTATGTTATAAACAGTTTATTAAGTCGATGTATTTTTTTTTAACAAATGTCATGTTGTAAAAACGTTGCTGAAGAGCTTATGTAGTATTTGCAATAAACAGCAAGTCTAGCTCAAAATCAATATTAATTTCAAAGTAAATCCTCAATATAAAAGTGAAGGTCCACTATTATAGAACTCTCCGAAGGCAATGAAAGGCCGTAAAATTATGTTCCTCAAATACAGCATATCCTGAGTAATCATTAGCTCTGCAGTTACACCACCATTGGAGAAAAGAGCAGAGGATGACTGTCAGTCCTACTAGCCTCATCAGGAGCAAAGATCTAGTTTACCAGAAGCCTCCCTCCCTCCCACACCATACCTACTATTGCTGGACTTCCTAAAGACGACAAAGACAAAGCCTCGCGACTACTTCTAGCACATTTGCAGAAAGGAGAGATCACAAGATATGTTATTTTGACAACTTTTTGTATTTTAGTCTATTTAAATTTATTTTTTGTGCTTACTTATGGGTGAGTAACACAGAAACTCCAATATAAGATGGTTCTACTATGTGAATTATCAAAAGACAAATGCAAGCTGCTAACATTAGCGTATCATCAGTTCTTCTTTCTACAACAAAGTAAGAACTGACAGGCACGCTGTGAACTAGGAAAAGTTTTTTGTAGCAATATTTTAATAATAAAACCAGGAGAAATGTAACATTTGTAAAGCCAGAGAAAATTATGATAATGCAACTAGAGAAGCATACTGATGTACAAAACATTTGTTCTTGCCCTACATGGATAAAGGGAGCTTAAGAGAATTCCAACTTCATAAATTTTAATTAGAAAGACAAAGAAAATATTATAAACATTAGATGACTGCAAGGAGCTTCTCATTCAGATCAGATACTTAAAAGCATACCGTACACATTCTTGCAATTACATTTGAATTGCAAGGCCTTTAATATCCTTAAGAGTGTACTCCAAGCTTGTCTTTATAATCAGCTTAAACCACCACATCCAGTGGAGACACATACCTTTCTTCATACACAACTATGTTAGCTGAGTAAATTACCACCCCAGAACCCCTAATTCCAGCCTTTCATTATAGCCTACTCCAACCTGCCATCATGTGAATGCCCCCCATCCCATTTCAGTCAAAACACGGCCACATTAGTTTCGGTTTAGCAGTAAAACACGAACACAAGTCAGACATTCAGAAAGAAAATGCCTCAACCAGAAGAATGCAGTTCCACCCTCTTTAGCTCACGCAAGTACAGTTACAAGAACAAGTCTACAAACCGCTCAGGTCTTCTGCTAAGACAACCTCTTGATGTCCATGCTAGAGAACTTCCCATATGACAAATTAATAGCAGTGCTCTACAGATCATTTATGGAAAATGTGCGTACTAAAAATGAAAATCTTAGAGTGAACAGACTGTTCATTTCCTCCCCCATGCTAGTCACATGCTATTTAGAAAGCAAAAGCATTATATGCAATATTTTATGATCAGTCTTTAATCAAAAATAGTTTTTAATGGCAGAGACAAACTATGTACCAAAAATCATGATCAAGTCATTTCTCGAATTAAACAACTTGAGTAAAGTTCATGTCAGAGTTTAAAAATATAACTGGGAGTCTTACGAAGATTATTGAGATTTAGACCATCTTAAGTAGTAAGCTACTTAGAGGGAAAAAGTTTCTGGTTTTACGTTATAAATGCACGTAATCTAATACTTCAGCTAAGCACTTTTAAGGAAAAGCAGTAAAAAGAATAAAAACCTCTCTGAAAGAATCATGCATTAAGGTTATTTGGGGAAGGGAAGGAGTAGAACATCTGAAGGGGTTTTTTTATTCTTTAGTAACAAGAAGAGAGACACGTGCATTCTGGACTTTCCAGTCACCTCCAGTCAGTAGATGGTTATGTCATTTCCCTTTTGTCATTAGGTTTAGCCCTATTGAGGACTTACTCCTTTTTTACTCAGTGCTGAGTTTTACACTTGAACTCCCCTTTTTCCTACAAAAAGTAAGGAACAAATGAAAGTGTCCCTATTAGACACGTACAAAATCTAACAACAGACCCCTACTACTAAACTCGTAAGTCTCATTTTTTTGATCATCCTTTCTGATGAAAACCTGAAAGTTAAGAATGTAAGAATTTATTTTTGATTGCATTAGTCAGAACATATAGACAGTTATACAGTCTACAATAATGTTAAATTTAGTCCCTGAAGTTAGCAGCAGACAATCCTGGAGCTGAATGCTGTCTCAGAATACTAATGAAGGAGGTTTAGCATTTGCTTTATCAGTTTAAAGTTACTGGGAGGGCAGTAACCAGCAGAGAGGGGCTGACAGGGACAGGAAAGTCAGCAAACATAATGCACCTCAGCTACTTTTGCACGAAGTCCAGCAGCTTAGTTTAAGCTGCTAGCGCAGTTCAGTTCCAAATGAACAAATGTGGCCAAGGTGTGAATACACCTTCTGTTCTGCCAACACTGCTCCAAGGATTAAAACCTCAGACCAGATGGTAACTTCCCAAACCACCAGAGCCAAGAGTCAGAACCACCAACAACGCCTTCAGAAAGATGACAACAAATTGTGCTTTAAAAGTTCTCTTCACAGTAAGAAATACTGGGAAGTATGTACTACTACCACAAGGAAGTAATTTCTACAAAAGAAGCATCTTGAGCAGTCATGCTCTTTCCTATAGAGAAGATAATTTTTCCTCCATACTTTGATGAACAATACCACACAGAAAAAAAATTCAGAAACCCAGCAACAAATACACAGGAGGAAATTTTCCTAAACTCAGCTAAATAAAGCCAACTATGATAAAAGGATTAAAATTTTTAAAAGTAGTAATTTCAGAAAGGGCCTTCTGAAACAAACAGATTTTGAGACCAAAAGATTTTGGAGATACAAAGTAATTAATCAGACTTACCTAGGGTTTTTTTGCGGGGGAGGGCAGATCTTGCTCTGAAGAATATCTTAAGCTGTAGTGATACTACAATGACTGAAGAAAAGCTGTCGCTTTT